TTTTTTTTAAGTGAATATAAAAACCCCTCTCATTAGAGACTAAAAAACTTTTAAAATCAGACTGAAATGCTTCTTTCATCAGAGACTCGACAACTTTTGAAGATTTAAAAAGCTCCTCTACGCAAAGGTTTGATAACTTTTGAAAATTTACAAAAAATTTTTTAAATAGAGACTCGACAACTTTTTAAATTTTAAAATATTTTACCTAAAAGACTTACAAATCTTGACAATGCATGTTTCTCTAAATAGAGACTCAACAATTTTAAAAAATTTAAAAGGTTACTCTAAGTAGAGGCTTCATAACTTTTGAAAATTTACAATATTATATCCGAAGGACTTATGAATCTTGATAATGAATGCTCCTTCAAGCAGAGATTCAACAACTTTAAAAAAATTTAAAAAGCTTGTCTAAGCAAAGGCTCCACAACTTTAAAGTTTTCATCTTTTCTAGAAACTAAAATCTCTTTTTTTAAAAAACAAAATTTTTTTTTTAAGGATTGAAGTCTCTTCTTTGATCATTATCTTTACATGAAGACCAAAATCCTATTTTTCATTAGGGAATGAAATTTTTTTGTCTTTGCTACAACGGTTCCTTAGCCAAGGATGATTAGATTAGGTACTTTCAAAATTTGTGGTGGGATTATGATTTACAATATCTATAAGGGCTTATATCTACTTAGTCAAAGTCTGAAATTGTTTCATGGTCAAGCCGATTTGTGGTGAGGCAATTCGATCTGAGTGTTCGTTATTATGCATTTCTATCCCAACTAAGATGGCCATTTATCCTTCTTCTAAAGTTCTCTTCTTATGTGACATTTTTTTGTACTCAGCTAGTGAGTGGAAAAGATTCTTTACCTAATGTGCTAAATGTTTATGTCGAGCTTCAATCCAAAAGCATTCTTGGAAAGGTAGAAAAGAATAACAGTTAAAGACAAAAATAAATAGTGTTCCTTATGTTTGCACTCCGACACACAAGTCAGAATGAGTGAGATCAGAAAGAAAATAGTAAAAAAAATTTTGAGTAGATTAAACTTGCCTTAGTAATATCGGGATATGTGTATTTGTAGATAAGAAAAAAGGGAATATTAGGAGACAATAACGACGTGACCAAACTGATGTAACATTGAATATATCATATCGATTTGATATATTAAGTCAGTGCAAATATCGGAATTACCTTTGATTGTCTAATAAAAGCTTCTAATAAGGAGAAATATCACGTCACTTTCTTGATATGATTTTTTTTGTGGGTTTTACTGTAGAAGTTAGATTATGGCAGGATGCAGAAAACAGGGTTTATCTGATAAAGGAGCTTGATAGGATCACAGGGCTGGTGAGAATTTTTTAGCATTTAGCGTGGTATTTAGTATTTTACTCTTTGACTATGGAATTTAGCTGTTTTTTGTGGGTATCATTTATCAGATTGGCTTTGTTACTTACTGTTCCATTTTGTTGTTTCTGAAAAAAGTGATTTAGTTAATGAATTAGTGACTTTTCATTTTAGAGCGCTATATCAGTTGATGATACTTTGAAAATCATAGCCTGCAGGTAAGGTGGTTTTGTTTATTTTGAGTATTAATTTTTGTTGGTCCTTGTCTTTTATCTGTTACGTTGAGAATTTCTATTGCAACATTGATATTTTATAGAGGATCCTTTTCTTATTAGGGAACAACACAAGAAATTATCTGCCCTTGAGATGGATCTTGCTGCAGCTAGACAAGAGTGCTTTACTTCCAAGCGTTCATCAGATATTGATGGGGCTGTTTCAAAGGGAAGGCCACTTGTAGTAATAGGAGTTCTAACAAGATTTGGACGTAAGAACAAAAGAGATGCTATACGTAAGGCATGGATGGGAAGTGGTATGAACACTTTGACTTTCTGTCATTCGCTCTTGTATTCTCTGTTTGGTGAGATTTTGTTTGCTTAAGTGGATTGGTGTGTAAATGGATTTATTTTCTTGTCAGAAGGACAAGAAGGTTAGCATATAGAAGAATCAACCTCTTTGAGTTTTAAAAGGAAGGGAGAGCAATGGAGATTATTTAGTTTTCTGCTTGAATGCTTGTTTAATCTGTACCACTTATAGCTATTGAGGGCACAAGTTAGACATATTCATCTTTGACTGACAATTTATGTATGTTTTTCTAATTAAGCATGCACTTATACTGAGAGACAGAGAGATTGATGTGAAAATGAATTTTTTTTTGTTGGGGTACCAAAACCTGCATGTTTGTTTTCCAGGTGCAACTTTGAAGAAAATGGAGAAAGAAAAGGGCACAGTTTCACGATTTGTCATTGGAAGAAGGTATAGTTTTCTCTTTCAATTTTTTATTTTCTTTTTCTCAGGATCCTTGCAAAATTATGAAGATGGTAAGCTAGAACTCAATCTTAAGTTGCATATTTTTGCAGTGTGAACCGTGGGGACAGTTTGGACAGGAGCATTGATGATGAAAATCGGCAAACGAATGACTTTGTCATTCTTGTAAGTCAATGGAACACTCGTTATCCTATTATTGCTTTGAGAAGTCACTTGAAAGCAATTTACTTGTCTTTTTTCAAAAAGTTGCTTATGGATGCGACTATACCGCCATTTCTATATACTTCATTAACAGGACCAAGTGGAAACACCAGGGGAGCTTCCAAAGAAGGCCAAAATGTTTTTTGCTCTTGCTGCAGACAGATGGGATGCTGAGTTTTATGCAAAAGTCAATGATGATGTTTATCTAAATATTGGTCAGGATCCCAATCGATGGATAACCTACAATCTTTCTTGAACCCCCTACATCAACTATGTGCATCAATAAGTTCAAAGAATCTCATACAGAATTCTCAATTTCTCAAAGTTATAGCACTTTGTTTATGTCATTTGTTTTACTTTGTTACTCGATTTAGAAAACAGCTTAGCTAAATCTTTGTGAAGTGAAATTCACAATGATGATTCTCTGAGATGACCCAATACAGTAGATGAAAACCATTTTCGAAGATCATAAGCTGATTTAAGTGGCGAACAACATAATATCAACTTACTAGAGATTTCGCTTTTAAATCTGTTGATTGTAGATGTTATTAAAATTTGAGAAGCTGTCTTCAGCCTCTTGGCCTAGTGGTTAAGGCTTAAAAAGACATGTAAGCTGGGAATTCGAACCTCACCAGCCCCATTCCCTATCTTGTGAACCCAAAAAATTTGAGAAAGCTGTTAAACAATGTAACTATGGGCTTACTGTACGAAAATCTGTCAATTTTATTACCTGCACTCTTTGTGGTATCCTAATTATGTTCTGTCATCTTCAAAGATGAGCAAGCTTTCCATTTCAAGATTTGTTTCATTATTGATAAAACATTTGCTCGGTGCAATGCCTTCACACTATCAAGTTGATGTTTTCCAGATGCCTTGCGAGCTACACTGACATCTCACTGGACAAATCTCGTGTTTATATTGGCTGTATGAAATCAGGGGAAGTTTTTTCTGAACCGTAAGTTTGGCTTAGATATTGGACTTTTTATTTTACAGATTAGGATATATGAGTTTGATATTTACTTGAATAGCCTTTGTTTCTTCTCATGCTTGCAACTCTGGATACCGGCAGGAGCCATAAATGGTATGAACCAGATTGGTGGAAGTTTGGTGATAAAAAATCATAAGTTTTGCTACCACTGATTTCATCTTCTAGGACAAATAGAAGAAAGCAACCATGACTAAACAAATTATGCTTGTTACTGATGTACTCTTTATAAAATCTCATAGACTAATATCTGTTAATATTGTTTAGTTGTCCACACTATCAAGATCGGTGTTGTCAGTTCATCTTGTAAAGCACTTTTGCTTTTCTTAATTTAAGTACTGAAAACTTCAGTTATTGAAATGCGTTTCAAATCAACAGCTATCTTTTTTATGGACAGAAAAACTTGGAATATGTTTCTTATACTGGTTGTTTACTTATATTGGTATTTGTTTTTCCTTTTATGGATTTTTTATCTTTTTTTGGTGCTCAACAACAGGTGAAATGTTCGTCATATCAGGAGCTTTGGCTAAATTTATTTCAATAAATAGGTCAGGTCCTTTATTCTTTGGTGCTACAATTTCATAAGTTGTGCCATTATAAAGCAAGAAGTTTATCCTAATTTGTTGAATGCAGATCTCTTTTGTGCACCTATGCCCATGATGATGTCAGTGCTGGATCCTGGTTTATAGGGATTGACATCAAACGTGTAGATGAAGGGAAGTTTTGCTGCTCATCTTGGTCAAAAGCTCTCTCTCTCTCTCTCTCTCTCTCTCTCTCTCTCTCTCTCTCTCTCTCTCTCTCTTTGTTAAATCATGCATTTGCCAGTATGCATAATAATGTATTAATGTGAAATTAATATCCAAACTTTACTGCAATTCTGCAAAGAACAATTATAAAAATTAGGAAGTATTATCTTTTAACATTTCAGCTACAGTGTCCTGTCTATTTTATTGGTCCTTACTCCTTGCTGATAGTCATGAAACAGTTCAGATATAGACATCCCAAAATGAGAATGTTCTTCCAGAGAGATTTGATTTGGCGCTTTCTTGGTGGTAACTAACATGTACTTTTTGTAATTTTCTTTTGCTGTGGTTTCAGGAGCTATTTGTTCTGGTATTTGAATTTATTTACCGATCCTGGAAAGCAAATACAAAAGCTGATTCTATTTGATAGGATGTATTTTATTTTCAAGTAGTCACAGTCTGCTCACACGAATTTGATAGAGAAAGAATTGCTCCTCAAATTTTGATAAGAGGGCTTCTTGCTTTTATAATACAAGTTGTTTTGATCGACATCTGATGAACCGTGGAGACTAGAGTTTGAAATTGACACACCGAAGGGCTTACAGAGTTAATAATAGTATATTAAGAGGGTTACTAGATTCATTTTTCCATTTTTTAGTTCTTTACACTTGTAAAATATATAAGTTTATATTCTTATTCAAAATCCACTCTTAAAAGATGACATCCAACAAGTGGGAGATACAAATTTCAACATTTGTAACCCTTTCTTTTATATCCAGATTGCAGCCCCTTTTGTTTAAAAAAAATATATCTTTGGAGGACAAGGCAATAGGCAATAACTTATAAAAGCATCTGCTTCTCCGGAACAATGATATTGGGGAACAATACACCCATCACCAAAGAGGCAATAATGATATGATAATAGTAATTTTTTCTTTTATTAGAGACAACAAAATATCATAGAATGACTATTAGTACAATCTGTTGCAAAGCAGAAAAAGCACACAATAAATAAGGGTATCAGATTATTACTCCAGTGTTCACTCAAATACAAACTATTTAGTTTATATCATCCTCATGATGAACTGTTAAGGAAATGTGCCAATGCCTTGTCTGTGTCATTGTCATGCATGAGTAAGGCTTCAGCAACATTGTTTGATGAGAATCCCATTTCTCGCAGTAGGTTATAACCATTGACAAATTCCCGAACCTAACAAAGGAAAGAAACAAAATAAATAAATAAATAGCAGAAGACATTCGTAATTAACATTATGAAAATTCCAGCTGCAGATCTGGAAGAATCGATGAAACTACTCAAGCTAAACTTCAAGCACTTGGACAATTTTCCCCCTATTATAAGATTACTGGTTTCTGTGTATTTTCCCCACATTACAAGACTACTGGTTTCTGTGCATCCGCAACATAAAATATACGAAACTAAGTCATCGGTCATCAAAACCAGTAACTTCTCCTAGAACAACAGGGAGCCAAAAAAAGGAAACAAAATAACCGAAAAGAATTCTAGCATGCCACTAAACCAGAATTACTCTCAGCTAATCAAGAAAATGCAGGTAGACAGGATTCTAATCCATGATAAATTTGTGTCCCAATGTTGAGCATAAAGCACATCTCGGCTCTATAACTAGCTACACTAGAAGACCAGTTGGGAAAAAATCACATCAAACATGCATTAGAAATTATAAAATCGAGTAAGGAATACTTCAAAGTAGACAAAACCAAGTTCTATGTTAGGAATATAGTCCATACACTAGGTTCGGATAACAAGTAAACTCATCAGGTGTTCCTACTACTTTGACGCAGTAACAAATGTTATTACACAAAAATCAAAATACCTTGATTGAATTGTCTCCATAATTTGCAACTGCAACGCTAACAGCTTCTCGGCTGAGTCCGGAGGCAATGTATTTGCTCACCACAGGATCTGAATTTGCAACCTGCGCATTCAAATTATTGTTTTTAGTTTTACGAGAAACCCTAAAAAGCCCAACAAATATGGACTAATTTCATTAAAACAGAATTCTACTGACAGTCATCACAGATAAAAAAACCAGCGAACAGACAAGTTACAAGGTTAATGAAAGATATAAAAGGAAGTCGAATAGCGTACAGGTGAAGAAGTTGATTGGGTCGGTTTCGAAGGAAGGTTTTCCAAGCCAAGCCTGCTCCAATTCATGCTTTCCTTGTCTGCTTCAGCCAAGACTTTCCTCTCAAACTCGAAATCAAACTGGAAATTGCTTCGAGGAATATCCCCAACTTGGGGCGACAACTGAGGCTGCAAAAAGAGAAATTAATGAATAGGATAACTTTATTCCTATAGCTAAAACCCAAAGGACTGAAAAGGCTTACCGGAGGAGCAATACGATATTCTGGTTTCAAAGCAACCCTAACGCCCAATCCGGCTGCCATAAATAAAATTAAAATAAATAAATTTTAAAAACGAAGAATGGTACAGAGACAATTTTTTTTAAGGGCAGAAAGTTTACAGGAAGAGGACGGAGAAGAAGTCTGCTGGAAAGAGGAGGTGCGGGATGCGGGAGGGACTACGCTGTGAACGGGTTGACCGATCTTTGGATATAATGAAGGTCCGTACATCGGATGGGAAGATGATGCTGATGATGAAGTGGGTTGTTGCCGGTACATCGGGATTTGCGCCTGACCTGTTCTGTTCCTGAAATCGTGATCCATTGTGAAAGTGGTCAAAGAGGATGATGGAATTTTGCAAGAGAGGGGAGGGGAATATATGAAAAATAGGCAAGTTGTGAGAAGAAAAATACAAGGAATTGTTAAACAAAAAACAAAAAAAGTCTTGTCTGCTGAGCCTTTTAGCTTTTTTTTTGAAGCGAGACCTGACTGGCGAGTACGCGGTTGCGGAAAAATTATTTTTAAAAAAATTGTAATATTAGTAACAGCGCCATCGATACATACATTTTTAAAAAAATTTAAACCGAAGAGCAAGATCTACTATGAATACACAATAAAATAAAAGTTATTCTGGCACGACAACAGGAGGCAGTACAGAGACTAGCAACAACAAAGTCACAAGCCAAATTAAATATATGGTCATACCCAAATATGGCAGCATTGAACTGTCCCTTGCTCAAATCACCCCCTTATTGAAATATTCTCCAATGCCTTTCAAAAGGTGAAAGTGCTGCAAACTTGACCAACGATTCTAATTGCAAGCCGTTGCAACACAGGTGCTGAGTCGCCGAATTGCTCCCACCAAAGCCCTACAAGAGATAAATGCAGACACCATAAAATGCTGGTGTCTGATATGCAAATATTCCTTGAAGAATGACAGCTACGATTTCATTGGATAGAACGATGTATTTAAACAAGTGAACTACTTCAATTTTCAAGGAAAGGAGGGAAATTTAGGGGGCAAAGAAGAAGTAAAAGGCTGGGCTGTTCACACACACATGCAGACCAAAAAAACCCAAGCGGTTGCCTTACGGAAAACAGTAAACATACAAGGAGAAACTGTATCTTCTGCCACCATCGCTAGATTACAAGCGAACATCCCCTTTGCCCTAGTCTAAGTAAAACTTTAATTGGTGATGTCACGTCTTAACTCTGGTGTGGGAAGTAGTTTCTCCAGAGCCTTGGAGAAGTCTTCTTTATAGATCCAAGAAATTTTATTTCTGGATTATACTGGATACTTGGATTTTAAAATGCCCTTGAATGTAGAGGTGAATGATGTTGGTCCCGCCACTTTCTATCAACTATTAGAAAAGATGTCTTACACTTACTCTCTTCCATTATATAGTATGTCCTTATTGATTCCTTGGCTCTAGTTACTAGTTCATATATAGAACCAAGTGCAGGTTTCCCTCATATACTTCCCTCAACTCTTTCAGAAAAGGCTCTGATATGACCTCGCATTCTTCTACTGCCCTCCAAATGTCATTATCTTAAGCAGTTGCGATGCAAGATATGCTCTGTTTTTATTTGTGTTAGGAGCATTTTATAGTCCAAAGGGCATAATGAATTTTTTTCTCTTCTGTATGACTTAGCAACACACAATGCTGACATGATATGTCGACCTAATTTGGCGAAGTCTACATAGGCTCAGCCAGGTCGCCGGGTCACTCGCTTACATGGATGCACATGAATTTGTCAATGTGTCATTGCCTAAGTAGATCTCCATCTGCCAGATCAGATTAAGCCAGCCTCGTCAGCCCAATGCTCGATGATGGACTCCAGGTCAATTTGGCTCGAAGCCCCTTGTGACACAGCTACAAATATTCTCTCTCTAGGTATTATTCATCGAATTCTCTATTTTCTATGGTTTCCTTCCATATTTTTTTTCGAACACTGATTTGAGCGTCAAAGAGTAAATACCAGAGAAAACTTTGACCTTTGTTACTAGCCTACCTCCGATCCCCAATTTGTTGTCTTTTCAGGTTTTGCCCTCATCGGACAGCTCGACACCTACCATTTGCATGCAAGGAGTTAGTTGAAGACTCGGGACTATTGAACATATGCTTCAATCTTGACCTCTGTTCCAACATCGATTGCAATGATAGAAAGCTGTTCTTATGAGTTCCTGTCCCCCAGTGAACTTCTTCATTAAATCAAGCGTTGATGCATTGTAGTATAGAAACTTAGACAATGTTTGTGCTTGTAAGATACATCTGTTCATCCATCTACCTTAGAAAATTCTTCCAAGATTAGATTCCAACATTGAGAAGCACAAGGAGACACAAGAATGGTTCCATAATTCTGCAAGATAAGGTTTGAAAAACTAGTACAGTTGAAACTACTATCCATGTTAATTTGCACAGCATTATCTGGGCCAAACGGTTGAATAACAGAATCAAATAAATCGGCAAGGCACTTAGTGTTCTTAAAATACAATGAGGCATCTACAGACTTGCAGAAAAAAGTCTTCGAGAGTGATGAAACTGAGAACTGAGAAGTTGATCAAAGCTCTAGCTTTATGTCAGTCCATGTGTCTGCAATGATGGTACAGCCAGTAGTAGCCCATTCTTTCTCAGTACCTTTAGATTGCAAACTCACTTCAGACTTGATCCTCTCCAACGAGAGTCTTCAAGGTTTCCGCAGATGAACCTATAAATATAGGACCACACTTTCCCAACTACATCAATCATTGCTTGATAGGGCAAAGAACGTGCCATACCAAAGTCCAACTTACTCTAAAAAAAAAGAACAAAGCAATGCTTCTATCCTGGCTCCACACTTTCTCGGTTGCTCAATGATGAAGGGGCAACAAATGAGACGGTGGAGAAAACTTTTGCCACAGAAGACGAATGCCTCTAGAGGAATAATTTTACTAGTAGATATAGTTCTAGGAGACCTAGCTTCAGCTATCTTCTGCTTTGTTTCTTTAATCTCCCCTTTCGAGGATATAATAGCAGTAACCTAATCAGTAACATCATCTCTAACACTACTACACGGTTTTACACCTTTAGTTAGAAGGCGAGATAGATGATGATACTTTAACCTACTAATCCCACCATTTAAAACTCTTAAGGCAAAATGTTCATCTAACTTTATTTCCTTCTAATTTCTCAGCATATTCCCAACACACATCTTTTTCCCTAACCACTGCCCGAAAATTCAGTGAACATAATTATCATTTTCTCAGATGACAATGCAATCAAACTATAATTATTGACAATTGAAGCAAATTATTTCATTCAAACAAGAAAATGAAAATGTAATAATCCGAAATTTTGAACTTACTAATAATGGTGGGAAACGACTTTTAAGTTCTCCAAATTGACCTGCAAGAGGAAGCAAATTAATAACAAAAATCATGTTAGAAGCTCGCCAAACATTAGATAGTCAAATTTTCAAATAAAGCAAATTTGAATTGTTCATACTCTTCAACATTTTAGTTTAATTCAGAGCTCAAAGTTCAGATTCTCGACAGTTTTTTCTTTCCTTGAAGAATAATTCTGCTATCATGAGCTCCGTAGAGTGAAATTTCCAATTTTATCTCTTACAAAATCTTTTTCACCGAAACCTAAAAAAACTTCGCTGAAAAAGTTTACGCTTTACGTCCATTTTCTCAGTAACCAAACACAGCATTTAGTTCAGAAATTCTGGAACTAAAACCAGAATCCAGCACCAACAATTAAAAGTTTTTTAAAATATTAAAAAAAAAGCGAGAAATTATTTTATTTATTTATTTCGAAATGCAACGGAAATGCAATAACTATAATATTGAAATCAAAGAAAGAGATCGGTCTTCTCGAGGAGAGATAATCAGAGATTGCAGAACGCGACATTTTAGACCAGGATCCTCCCCAATTTATCTCTTCTCGTTTCCCGCTTTTATGATTTTGAACCAATCAGATACTAGATTTAGAAGGTGGATGATACGATATCGTTTTTTCACTTATTTAAGTTATGGCCAAAAATATAATCGCTGGAAGCCACTCTATCAGAGCCAGGTTTCGATCCTGGGACCTGTGGGTTATGGGCCCACCACGCTTCCGCTGCGCCACTCTGATCTGTTGGTCTTTTCGTGTACGATATACAATTAGTTAAATTCATTTAAATGTGCCAATTCCAACTACTATATTTTCAGTTGCAAGAGCCAGATGTATGTTAATGGTAATGCAAGTTTTTTGTTAAAAAAACTATGAGTTAATAAGCTGATCAAAAGTAATTTAGCATATTTACAAGATTTGGTCTGTTATCAGTATCATTAGAAAAGTTGGCAATGTTTGTTGGAGGAGTATTTTAATTGATTATTTTCTATTTACAACCGCATCCAAAAATTATTAAACAAACATATCTATAATCAACTCGCATTTGTCACGTATTCTTTACACTTATTAGTCTCAGCCTTACTACATTTTTAATCTGCCTCATTAGCTGCTCCTCTGTGCATCCTTTTGAATTGTAGAGCTTCTTTTCCTCTCTACCCGGATCAAATATATGTAAGCTCTCCGTGCTATTCGTAGTATTACAGAAACAAATGCCTTTCCTTTCAGCCTCCTCACTGCTCACTGAAACTCACTCTCCCAGTCATCCACCTCCCTGCAGAGATTACATAGCTGCAATATCTGTTTCCAAATTGCCCTAGAGTATGTGGTACCGGAAAAAGTATGATACTCTTTTTTATCTTTGTACATATTACATGATTTTGTAATGTTTTGCACTTGCAATTAGTATGCTAATTTTCACAAAAATCAATCACCCTGGCACAACATTAGACAGATAAATGAAAATAGACTTCATAGAGCAAAACCATTAAAATCTACAAGCTTTAACAATTAATTCCTGATTGCTTAAATGAGACAATAGCCAAGATCCATGTTGACTTTGATCATAGCTGGATTAGGGTAGGGTTAAACTAATCTTGTCACCATATTTAACACAGAAGTATAGGGTACATAAACAACTTAAATACTAATAGAAAACACTTTTGCCTGTTCCATAATGAATTATAAAAATTTATGAAACTACTAATTCGTAAGACAAGAATCCTACTGTGGAACAGATGACGAGGGACCTATTTCTGCTCCACGTGGGATTGGGGTTGAAACTGAGGTTTCTGATTTAGTTTCAGAGGATGGTTGGTTTCCCGTGTTTGCTCGCCTAATTTCCTCCACTGTTCTCACTAGGTCAGACATTTTTGGTCTTTGCTCTGGCATTCTCACTACACAATTCATCCCAATTTGTAGCATCTCCACCATTTCCTCCTCTACATTGGGATAGCGTAAAAGTTCTAGATCAAAAACTTCTGCAGTCCACTCTTCTCTGACTACAGAATGAACCCACCTCACCAAGTGAACAATCTCCTCTCCACCGGTGGTATGTATCGGTGATTTTCCGGTTAAGAGCTCAAGTAACAAGACCCCAAAACTGTATACATCAGATGCTTGAGTTGCTTTCCTAGTGTCTGTTACTTCTGGTGCGCGATAACCTGCAGCCCGCATTACAGGTGGGGGCATTGGGCTCATCACTGCTGCCAAACCAATATCCGAGACACAACCATATCCTTCAGAGTTAAGGAAAATGTTGGAAGCTTTTATGTTTCCATGAACAAATTTTCCACTGTTTTGTGAGTGGATATGTGCAATGCCTCTTGCAGCACCAATTGCAATTTTTAGTCTAGTTTCCCAGTCCAGAGGCGTCCGGCCATCACCTCTTTTACCTGAAATATTAGATATCCATCGATATAACATTGTTTACTTCTTTGCAAACTGCAATGAAGTGGGTTTTTTTAGGAAATCACAAACTGATATATAGATTGAGGATCAAGAAACAAATATATTGAACAAAATGAATCAAATTCATGAGTTAACATATAGGCTTAAGTGTTATATAATTGACCATCACTCATCATTCTGCAGCTCAAATGTAGATAAGAGATACATTTCATGGCCCTGAAAATTTTGAAATTTTGTTCCATGTGCTTCTTTTATGGCTTGCTATAAATAAATAACATTTCTCAACAACACAGGCTTGCATTATAGAAGCAGATAGCAAACATTACCTTCTACAACGCTTATATGCCCAACTTATACTAAAATTAGCAACAAGAAGAGGAAACGCCCTTAGAATTCATAAATTTTCTAAAACACAAGTGAAAAACTGAGGCAGTGTAGAATGCAGGTCTTATAGGAAGAAACTGAGGGACTGACTAATTTTAGAAATTAACAGCCAGCAAGTAAGAGCTGAACTAAACATTGAAATTAAGCTTATCAACTTACCATGTAGCAGAGCAGACACACTTCCCAGGTCATAGTAATCATGAACCACAAGCTTCTCATCCTTTGAATAATAATAGGCCCTGAGCGCAGACACATTCTCATGCTTGATACGCCCAACCACCTCCATCTGTTGCTCAAACTCCCGTTTTGTTGAGGTTACTTCCTTCAACCTCTTCACTGCCACTGTGGTTGCTTCCTCCAAGGCTGCTTTGTATGTTACTCCAAATGTCCCCTTCCCAAGCACCTCTGCGGATGCTCTCAACAAGTCCTCCAAGTCAAATGCAAGATTACAACCCTCGAAGAAGACAAGCCTGTTGTTCTTATCATAATTCTCAGAAGCCATTTTCTTCAAAGAGACCTCTTTTTTTTGGTACTTTGCTGGAAATTCTCGTTCCTTTTGTCTCTTAGAGTGACAACAGATCATCAAAAGGGCAACTAGGACAAACAGCAACACGCAACCACCAATTACGATCCCCAAGAGTGCAGGTTCACTAAGTTTTTTCGCTTTCTTTGGTTGTTGAGCATTAGGTGGCTGGCCTGGAAGAGCAGGAGGAATGGCGTTTTCTGATGAAAGGTTATTGCCAAAAAATGCCCAGCTTGGAAATCTTTCGAGGGACTTAGGAACAATTCCTGTGAGATTATTGTTGGCTAAATCAAGCTGTTGCAAACTAGGGATATTGACATCAGGAATATCACCTGAAAGGGAGTTATTAGAAAGATCCAAAGCAGTGAGGCGACTCAATTTTGATACTGATGGAGGAATGCCTCCATTGAAGCCATTGTTTGAAAGATTAACGATTATAAGATTGTTCCAAACCGAGAAATCAGGCAATGGCCCAGAAAACTTGTTGAAGGGAAGATAGAGGATGGTCAAGTTCTTGAGTTCAGCAAAATCAGAAGGGAATGAACCCGAAATGGCATTGGATCTAAGATTTAAAATCTGAACAGCTGATAAACGACTGAGAGTGTTAGCTGGAATAGGGCCACGAAGTCCCATTCCAGGCAAACGCAGGGCTATGACTCTGGAATGATCACTGTTGCATGTCACTCCTATCCAGCTGTTGCATACAGAGGTTTCCTTGCTCCAGATGAGAGATCGTGAATGATTAATATGTTCAAGGAAATCCAGTAATGCTTGTTTGTCTTTAACCGGATCAGCAAGGATGGATGAGAAAATTGCCCCCAGCAAAAATATGAACAAGATGTTCATTCTCTTGCCCATTTTCCAAGCTGTCTCAAAATCCCCAACAATTCCACCAAAATCGCAGTAAAAGAGGAATCCTTTCTGCAAATTATGGCTACAGGTACATGACTTTGAATGACTGAAGAAATCATAAACAGAAAATCAATCATTAAAGAATCTGTTACTGAGCTGTAATCAATATTTAACGACAAAATTAAAAGCTTCTATTAAAAATATTGACCTAAATGACTTAGTTTTAAGCGGAGTTTAGTCAAAAGCGGCAGTTTTAGGTGCGTTAGGTTCTGTCATTTGTTGACTTTCTTTTCCACCTTCTTCTGTTTGGTTACTGAGTAAAATGCTTAAAAACCTAACAAGTAAAGGAATTTGTAATCCAAATTTAGCAAATCTCATGTTATGAAATTAAAACCCGATTAACTTTCTATACTGTCTACCACTCAGCACCCAAACACAGCTACAAATTGATTCAGTTGAAGTTTCCATATTTTGAAGATGCAAAATTAAAGCCATTTACTACCAATTTTCTGCACTCTCTTTCTCTCCATTCTCGATAACCAAACAGACAATATTCAAATACCAAAAAGATCAAGAAGAACAACTTTACTTACTTTGAGAAAACCTAAAGCCCAGATCAAATGAAACTCCGCAAAGATCCAGAAATGAAAAAAAATAAGAACTTGACAGTTAATCCCTGGAACGTTGAAAAAAGAAGCAAAGGAGAATGCAAAAGAAGAATCAGACAAGAGTTACGGGGCTAGCAAACGAGTTCATGATAGCAATGATAATGATGAGGACGATGATAGATTTATGAGCTGTTCTTTCTTGAGGGAGCAGCATCACATGCAAGAAAAACCAAAAACCAAACTACTACTTCATTAGATAATCATTTGAGTGAAGAAAGAACTCTTTTTTTTATACCGCAGGACTAGGAAAATCCTTTTTTAAAGCCATATGGAGACAAAGAAAGAGTAGGGAAATCAGATTCAAAACGTAAGCTTTAAAAAGCTAAACACAATTTTATAATTACTTTACGTTTGTATTCATTATTTAGCTAAGAAGAAGAAGCTGCTGTGGGGGTATCGGGTAATGTACTGTACGTTCCAGCTTTCCATGTTCAAGTTTTTTCTACTGCCATTGATGATAGCTTTTAAAGTTGCCGCTGTTTCGGGGATAATCAAAGAAAGTTGAATTAAGAATTTACGATTGTCAAATGAAAAAAAAAAAAAGGAATATTACAAAATCAGTGGGCATTAATTGGCGGGGCGGTGATGAGATAAGGAGAAGGTTATGTCTGTCTTTCTAAAGGAAATTTACAAAAATTAATGATTACATTTCTGGCACAACCAAAACACACGATGCCTCCATGCCCAAAGCGACTCGCTGTCTTGCCACGCGCAATAATACACACAATTATAATAAATAATTAATTTTTTAAAAAATAATTTGTTTTTATCTTAATACACATAATATTTTAGATATTTTGTATGATAAATAATTAAATTTTTATAAAAATGATTATACAACATAATTTTAATATAAGAAATATATATTGATGTGAACTAATTGTTTTATATAATTTTTATGTATATTTTTTAATTTTTTAAGCACTTGATGCATAATTTTTTGCTAAAAAAATTGATATAATTCCCCTTTTTTTCCTAGTTAAAATATCTAAAAAACATAATATAAATTCTTTCTTTTATAAAAAAAAAGAAAGATAAGTTTGATTTTTTGCTTTACTTTTGCTATCAATAGAAAAAGGCTTTGTAAGAAATATGATATTATAGTATCATACATTGAGAGAGACTCTTAAATACTTACAACTCTATTAGATATTAATAAAATAAATTTTTAATTTCATTAAATCTACCAGTAAAATATTATTATCAATTAATTAAATTAATTCCATCTGCATAAAATACTAAACTGTTTGACATAAAATAAAATAAAATAAAATAACTCTTCCGCGTAAATCGGAAACTTGCAAAAAAAAAAAATTGGAGGTGGGGGTTTTGAAGATCCATGCACCCGTCGCCTGACGAAGCTGAATTATTATATTCTATATACTTCAGATAGCGACGTTAGCGCCACGCTCTAGATTTAAGACGTTGACTTTTGATTCGGCGGTGTGGGATATAAGACAAAACGTGAGCCATTTAAGAGTAGGCAAAAGCCAAACAGCTGAGCGTTGAGATGACAGCAGTAGCACCGCCTTACTTCGTGTTACGTGATGTTACCGATCCCAACTTTTTACTATTGACTCGAACAACGTCAGCATAAAAACAAAATCGTATGGGAACGTCACATCATTGGCCATCACACTCCTCTATTATTTGCTACATAAGGCTAAGGTTCGAGGAGGATGAAACTTTTTTGACAAAAGCCTTTATTTTCGACCATTGTTGGACAATTATTTTGGACATCGTCTAATTCAATCAATTTATGTCATCATTTGTGAAATAATATATACTCTCTTTATCTTTTTTTGTTTATTTTTAAATATCTCAAAATTATATATATTTTAAACATCTAAAATTTTTATTTTTTAATATTAAAAATCATGAAATTTTAATTTTAAAAAAGAATTATAATTTTAATATATTTAATATTAAAATTAAAATTTTTTTAACGGAAATAGTACATAATTATATTTACTATCACTACTTTGATTTGTAATTAGTACAATTCATCAAAATCAAATATCAATTCATTTTATTTTGCTTTGTAATTAGTACAATTACATTATGACTTCTTCTTTCGTAAAAATAAAATAAGTACGTTGAAATCACATCAAATTGAGCAAGTAAAAAAACACAAAAGGCATGTAATTTAAGGGATCATGAATTTACGCATGTGCAAAAAGAATATGAGACGATCGTGTTGAAGTTAGGGATGGTAATTTCAACCGTAACTGATGGGTAATCCATTTCTGATCACATTATCAGCATATCACGCAAATTTTTCATCTGTCCCAAACAAAATCCCGGGCGACAACAATGTGATATGAATCAGAACACAACTTGAATTGCAGAAAATAGTATACTTCATTAAAGTTACACGAAGGAGGCATCTTCTATTGTGACAATATCTACCAAGTGTGGAGATATCACATCTCATAATCCAATGGAACGAAAGCTAAAATTTTTTATACAAAACTATTTTCTTGAAATAAGAATTACAAAATATGTGAAAGAGTAAGCTACATACTTTTGAGCGTCGCCTCAAAGCAGAGCAGAACCTCACACAAAGACCAATGAATCGTTAATTTTTACATTTTGAAGAGTGCAATTCACCACAAGGTCTCACGCAAGGCAAATACATGTTGGCAACTCACCTACTTCCTAACAATTCTTGTTCTAACACCCCCTGAGATTTGCAAAAATAAGCATGTTTCAGTGACACATAAAACCAGTATACCACAGGTGTAAAGTGCATTATGTCACATACCTTCAACTTCCTCAAACTGAACTTCCTTAACGAGGTCAGCAGAAGCATTATATTCAAACCTAACAAAAGACAATGACAAATAAAATCAATAGATACAAAGATTAAATAAACAGAAACCAACAGCCTCATAAATTTTTAATGAAGCCAGCGATACGATATCACTGGATGCATGATTAAAAAAAATCTCCTTCTTAGCAAGTAAACTAACATTATGCTGGAAATTATCCTCCAATGAGAAGCTTGAAGTCACTGAGATTTATGTCACGCTATCCTATAAATGCCATCTATAAGCAAAAAAATAGCAGATATCTAATAATTTCTATAAAGGCCCTTACACTAAATTTATATCTTCTAAAGCTGAATCCTCCATTTCTTTGTTAGTAAAGCAGGCTTTTCTCTGCGCCTCTTAGTTTCTAATGCTGATATGCTATATCTTCTATATTTCCTCTTCAACAAGAGAGCTGATTCTTGCGGGTGTATGATCCCTTCAGCAATCAATGAAGGGTATTTTCAACAAAATTCATTAACACGAAACCTTAGATGCAAATGCGAATATCAAGAAAATAATGAAATAGCCAATAGAAGACACAAATCGCAAGCCACAATCAACAATTTACACTAAAATATGAAGGTGTTTATATATGGCTAATAACTTTAGCCACATTAGTTAAGATTGTTAGTAAAATCTAATTGGAAAAAAAAGCCTATAGCAATTTAATTAAACCATTGAAACATATGATAAAACCACGAAACATATAAATGGCAGTTGAATAAATATCTATTACCTATTGGAAAAAACCACCTCAAGTTCATATTCAGAAGCACTCCTGGTAGCTTCTACCAAGACAGTAACGATTTCAGTTTTGCGAGTACTAGCCATAAGTAAATCATACTCTGTTGGAATTATAATCGCGAAGAAATTATCGCTCAATTCACTCAAACACATCTTATCTACGGCTGCTAAAGCTATCCGGCGTTTAAGTGAATCGGTGTCAGGATCAACAATGTATATTGCAAAATCAGTAATCATAAGAATCCGCCGTTTCATCTTCCCTGATGAAGTGAACTTCAAAATTTTATCGGCAAACAAAACTTGCTTGTCACCTGCAGGTTTCATTAGCACAATATTCCCTCTTTAAGAAAATTTCAATTATGATTCCCAAAAATTACCAAAAAGCAACATTTTTTTACAGCAATTGTTGTTTCAGACAAACTATAGACAATACCGCAAAGGAAGGCTTTTTTTTTTAAAGGTGGAATAAGGGGAACCTTGTTTTTGCAAGATCTTCATTAAGAAGGGACGGGAGGGGATATCCAAGTAGTCTCCTTTGTATTCTCGGCGGAGGGAAGCTTTTCGTCTGACTTTGACTCCCATGAAGGGCTCCTGATCTTCCGTTACATTGCTCTCCGACGGTCTCAATCGCAACCCGTTTTCTTCTTGTTGTTCTTCGTCTTGTACATCGTCGTTGTACTTGGGGGTATCCGATTCATCGATCTGGACTCGGGTTTGTGCCTTGTATCGATTCATTGTCGATCAGTGCAAGTCGGAACCGGCGGCCGATGTTTGGTTTTTTGGGAAATTGACAGAGAGGGAGAGAGGTGGAAATGGAAGCTAGCTTTGTTCAGGTGTGCTTGTCACGGAATCCACATCATGCGCCGATGGGCCCATCCTGTGATCTGGATCCAGTTGGGGGTGTGTCCCTGTCTGATAAGAAGTTTGATTGAAAACTGCATTGATTCTGAGCCGTCGGATTTGCAGGTTCCTCTTATTGGATTAATCAAATACTGCTAATGGCCCAATATTCTTTTGTTTTTAATACGACGTTAAATATACTTTTTACTTTAAATTTAAGTCCTTTCTGTTGCTTAAAAAAAATGCTTTTGGTTATTTTTTTTAAATGTAATGGTATCATTTTTTGAAAATACGTTGAAATAGTCTAATTATCTTTAGAGTTATATTTATATTTTTGGTTAATAATTAGATTTTTTTTAATTTGCTGTCATTATAATTCTTTTAAAGACAACAGTTTTATTTTTTTGCACATGCCAAGAAGTTTATAAGAAAAAATAAATAATTAAATCCTATTATCTCAATTTTTTAAATTTTTTAACATATAATTTAAAAATTAAGTATATAATCTAGATGAATTGAATTAATATATTATCAAATTCAAATTTAGTTCAATTTGAAAATTTAAAGCTTGATTGAACTCGATTGAATTTCATTTTTCGTGTTCGAACTTTGCTCCTAATTTCATCAAATCATTCAAGCTTTACTTGATAAACTAAATTAAATTTAATAAAATTATAAATATTAACATTAAACTTAATATTTTATCATTTATTTATATTAAATATATTAAAAAATAAAAATTCAATTAAATTTGTGAACCTCTCAAATATTAAACTATTTGAATTTAATTTGATTCATTATTAACGTAATTTAAGTTCAACTCGATGATAAATGAATCGAGCTCAAATTTTTTAAAATTGAATTCCAATATTTTGTAAGTAATTTGATTCATTTACATTATTGCTAATCATGCTTTTTAAGATTATCATCATTTTTCAATGTATTAAAATTACAAAATTAACTATTCATAATTACATTTAATATAAAATAAATATTTTATTAATAAATATATATTAATTAACTTTAATAATGTCTTTAACGTGCTCATTAACAATATCTTTAAAGAAATAACAAATTTTGGACCAAACATTGATTATGTGAAGGCATCAAAAAATTTTTCACTTTGTGATTATATTGAAATGCCATAAGTGATTATTATTGTCGTTTCTTTGGATTAGATTTCTTTTGAAGCTACATCTGTTTGAATAATAATAATATTAATCAATGATAGCTACTGTTAACATGCTGGAAAATATATTTTATGGCATCAATTATTATATAAGTTAAAATATAATAAAAAAAAAGGAAATGAAAGTTGTTAGAAGAACAAATAAAGATAATATTTAATTATTGCTTGTATAAATTAATTTTTAATGATAAGTATTTAACAATTTCAGCATTATTTAAGCACACCAATAATGAATTTGTGCTGCAACAGTTGACTTCATATTCATGCTTATCCTTGGACCACGGTCTTTGCTCTTTCATACACAAAATTCACGCGTTTCGACCTAAACCCGGATGACCACCAGACCAAACTGGACCAAGCCTACTCAATTCACTTGCGCTATTCAGATATGGGGAAGGAAGTTGCAAACGGGTTGAATTATTTGAGTTACTAGAAATTGATTTGGAAAAAAATTGAGTTTTATTTGATTATTGTTAACTTAGGTTTAAATTATTTAAATAATTTAATAATTAATTTAAAAATTTTACTAATTTAATTGATTTTAATTAAAATTTTATTTTTAAAATTTTAATATAAATAAATAATAAAAATATTATAATTTATAATTTTATTAAATTTAATTGAACCTACTATGCTGAATTCAAACAACTAATTAAATTAAGAGTAAGATTTAAACATGAAAACAAAATTTAATTGAGTTCAATTAAAATATTAAAAATTAAAATTTCAAATCAAATCGAATTTTGTTTTAAACTCGAGACTTTGAGATCCGACCAATCACAAACAATACCGAAATCCGAAAGCTTGAAGGTATGATTTAGATTTTCATCAAACGACTACCAACTACGCGTAAGTCCTCGATCCCGTCCACTTAACATAATAAAATAAAATAACCCGTAATAATAATAAAAATAAAAAACAGGCTTAATATAATAAGTTTTGCAGGCGGCCACTTTCGGCGAAAATCAGGTGATTTTCGTACAGAGAACGGAAAAGCATGGGACCCACAACAGATTAACATTAACCCAATCAGACTTTCTCAACCGAGGCCGGTCCACCCGTTTATAAAATACCGCCACCACACCTAATCATAAATTCTCCTCTCATTTGTTTGCTTTATACCATCTCCGTTTCGGCTTTCTTCGTTCTTAATCTTTTCCTTTTCTTTCCTACCCAACCAAAGTTCCTTCAGGCATTCAAATCCCCCTTCCCCAATAAAAGGAGGATCTGAAATATCTTTGTAGGTTCGATCCCTTCTCTCGCTTTTAATTGTTCCTTTTCTTTTGTATTTTTATTTGCGTTGGTTTGATTTTTTGATCTACGCTGGATGGGTCATAGGTTTCACGATGGCATCAAAACGGATCTTGAAGGAATTGAAGGATTTACAAAAGGATCCTCCTACATCTTGCAGTGCTGGTATTGCATTTTATAAATAAAAAAATCCCCCTTTCGCTGTTTTATTTTTTTTTCAAATATTGGTTTTTTTTTTTGTAATATTCCTGTAAGACCATAGATTCCTTGGTATAAATGTTTTCATATTTAAGTCGAGGATTAAAAAAGATCTGTTTGATATAAGTATCTGTGATTTAAAAAAATAAAATAATTGTAATATTTTTTTGCGATTATCTAGAAATTATTGTAATTTCGTGTTTGCTTGCTGCCGACATACGGGAATGGATAGCTGAGCTGAGGTAGTGTTTTTGCCTCATAATCTGTTGGTTTCTCAAATTGTGTTCTTTTAAAGACCAATACAATTATAGCATCGAAAAAAAAAAAAAGAAATAAAATTGTAAAATTTTAAGAGCGTTCTTAATAACGTTTTAGTATTTCAGTATTTTTAAATGAAACTTTTTATGAATTAAATGTGTGTTGAACTGGAAGTAGTCCTGATTTTTTATATTTGGTCACAGATTATAACATGTCTAAACGATAGGTTGTGTTTGATTCTTATACATGTATTTATTGTCTTATTATGTTTTCAGTTGATGTTGACAAAGGCATGTGACACATTTTATCGCTCCTTAAACATCGGTGATAAAGACTGCATTTCATCATGTTATCGCATCATCAATTGAAGTCTGCCACTCCAAAAGATAGAATAGTGGAATGGAAGGGAAAATATATATTTTTTAATTTTCCCATGATGGATGTTTTTTTTCCCCTTTGGCCTTATAATAAGAGGAAGGAAAATGAAAACTTTGATATTCATTATTATGTCAGCTGATCCTCACACTGTATCTGTATGTGATATGTGCAAAACAGGCATGATATGGTGAAGTAGGAAGGAAACCCTTAGTTTGGTGCTTCCTCTTTCTATTAGGTAGTTAAAGACAATAGGCTATTGCAATTGTCTTAATTTTCTGGAGTTTACAACAAGTTGATGAACCGTAATGCTAAACTGGGTCTGTTGTCTAGTTTATTGGGCTTACCCTTCCTAGGGATCCAAAGCTTTTTTAGTTGACTGGTTTTTTTTTTTTTTGTTATATGTTCTTTTTGGAGTAGCTAAGAATCGTGACTGAATAGCAGAAAAATAGTTTTCTCATTTGATGAATTATTATCTAGCGTCTAGGTAAGTAATGTGATACCATTACCATTTTTCTTGTCTTTATATATTGCATACTGAATTTTTTATCAGCATGATGATATCCATATTTTCGCAAGATGTCTTGCATGTTTTCTTGTGTTGTTTGCCCTCATGTTTTTTGGCAATTGGTTGTATGTACAAGTGTTCAAAGAGTATCATCTGACAATGTTGCAGGTCCTGTTGCCGAAGACATGTTTCATTGGCAGGCAACAATCATGGGTCCACCAGACAGTCCTTATTCTGGGGGTGTTTTCCTAGTGACAATTCATTTTCCTCCAGATTATCCCTTTAAGCCCCCAAAGGTACTTTTTATATGTAATTTTTCTTTACCACCATTTGCAAGTGTATGCAAAATTTCTCTTTTGGTTCAATGCTTTAAGACTTTGATCATTCACTTTTATTCTGTGTTAAAAGCTATCTCTATAATTCAGTATTCCAGTTGCATATTTACACTATTTGAAATGTCCTCGCCACCATCATTTCTCTCTCATCTCCTCTTTATCAATTTTTTAAGAAATTAAGGGTTGTGCTTTTAGAATATATATTTCTTTCTGGGTTACTTGTTTCATGCTACATTGCATACGAAAGCAATTGATAATATATGCCCTTGGAGAGTGAGAGATGCTTTAATGAGCATAATTGAAGCCTTCATTGTCATGTTACTCTTAAGTGCTTCTTCCTTTCCAAATGCTGGTCCACCTGATGGCTTAAAAGCTTAAATGAAAATAAAAAATACATGAAAACTTGGAGTGCTATTAATAGGTCATAAATATTCTCAAAAGCTTGAAACGGCAGAAAATATATGTACAATGAAAACTGGTGTTGCACTGGGTTGGTAGATTTTTTATATTTGGCTGACCGATTGCATTGTAAGAATTTAAGTAGCTTAACACAAAATTATTAAGGCTAGAACTGACATAGAGTGTGTATTGCTTCCTTCTCTCTTGTTTCTGTCTCTCTCTAATGTTTTCCATTTGATAATGGGTTTTGCAGGTGGCATTTAGAACAAAGGTATTCCACCCCAATATTAACAGCAATGGAAGCATTTGCCTAGACATCTTGAAGGAGCAGTGGAGTCCTGCGCTAACAATTTCTAAGGTGATTATCCTCTAAATATCTTGATATTCCTATTTGAAACTCCTCTCATAAATTTGGCATCAAGGGTGACAAAAATGGATCCAACCTGAATGAGCCACCCCCATCATGGCCAAAACCTAAAATACAAATTAACAACCTGAATGCAAACCCCATAAACCTGAAATAGGAATCCCCTAGGCTAAACCTGACGAGTGATGACCATCTGTAGCAAAGCTAGAGTGGTAGAATCCAACCCAATGCCTAAAATGAAAACTCACTCTGTAGTTATGTTTTTTGGCTACTATTTTTTAATTGGAGTACCAACCTTTTCATTTGCAAATTGTCTGTTTCATCTTTTTAATTGGTCAAAACCTTTCAACGATTTTGTTATTTTAGGTATTGCTATCAATCTGTTCTTTGCTGACGGACCCAAATCCCGATGATCCATTGGTGCCGGAGATTGCTCACATGTACAAGACAGACAGGAACAAGTACGAGACGACTGCAAGGAGCTGGACCCAGAAGTATGCCATGGGCTAAACGAGCTTTGGTGTGTGCGAGGAGAGGCCCTATGTGTTTTTTTTATATATATTTTTTGCTTTTTTCTAGTTCTATGTATGAACGTGTGTTCTGTCACTTAAATCCTAAAATGGACTAAGGAGGCCCATAGCATGCTCTTAGTTAAAAAAAGAAACGCAGATGTCGCTTTCTGTTGTATGGATAATGTAACCTTGGAACAGAGAAATTTGTGTCCTGAATCTGAAAGTTTTTTCCTACACTAGGATAAAATAAAATCTTTATTCCTAATAAGAGTACTTTTAATCTTATTTACTTAAACAGGTACTTCATTGCACATCAGCTTCATTTTTCCTTCCCACTCCTGGTTCTTCAATTTTTCTTCCCTTTCTCTTTTTCCCCAATCCCTACCGTCACAGAAATATCAGAGCCAATCAATAGAAAATCAATCGAAAGTCAGAAGAGTCTTTATAGAAAAGCCTGTTGTCTCGCTGAAGAAACTTGGTCCTTGATTTCCACTTTCGGTCTTGGTTTCACTCTGACCTTACACCACAGCCACGGTCATCGCCATCCTACCTGTGTTAGGAAGCAAGGTTGAAGACTGGGCTTTTTTTGTCAAGAGTTAAAAGGAGTGGTGTTTTCTCAGGGCCGCCAAAAAAATTCCTTTGTCCCTCTGATTCCCATGCTGCACTACCGAAATGAAAAAAAAAAAAAACTATTTTACAGCTCATCCTTTAATCCAAAAGTGAAGGAGTGGAGGGAGGAGAGTAAGGGGCACACATATCGACAACAAAGGATGGAATTCAATTAGTGGATGTTTTATGGTGAACTGGAGTCATAAGATTAATTGCATTACTGCCATTAGCTTTGCTGTAACGTTCCGTTGCAGGAGCAAAGAATCTTATACAGAGGCTAGGTGCTCTGTAACCCCAACATATTTCCTTTCTTCGTTTACTGTTCCTCACTCCAATTAAGAAATTATATAATCATGGAATCATATAAATGATTTAAGATATGGAGGGTGGGACATCTGATCTTAGTTACAAGGATAATATTTTAATAAAGATGAAAATTAAACCCAGTGGGAATATAGGATTTTTTTTTTTTTTTTTTGAGTTTGTATACAGTGAAGATGAAAATAAATTAAAATGATTATGTGGTATGAAGTATTCCATTTAAATAAATAAGATTAAAAGTACTTTTATAAAAAAATAAAAAATTTTATTATATATTAATGTAAGAAAAAATTCATAATCTCAAACATCACTCCGTCTACCGCCGCCGTTCTATTTATTTATTTGTTAGTAGAGTTGTTATTACTTATAAATAAAGTTATACCAAAGTTGTTTCTATTAACATGGGAACTTAGAAAAGAGAATGGAATGGGATTCTATAGACGAATGAAATAACTGACAAGTTATTTTTTTTTTCTTGTTAAACAATATGAGATTCATACAAAATATCATATTATAAGAAAGAAATGAATAATTGATCGAAGAAGCAATAGGCAAATATATAATTTTTTTTTTTTTGGTTTCAAGGGGGTGAGCCCTACAACATAGTCAAATATATAATTGATTGAAGCAGTCGGTTGCTTCAGTTTTTTTTTTTTTTTTTAGCCATTTTTAATTTTTGGGCTTGTAATACATTTTTCTCTACCTTTGAGCCCATTAACTGATACACACTGAGAAGTACCTTGGAAATGCAACTCTTAAAAGTTCCTTTCGCCTTTTTGGAAAAGTTCAAGTAATCATGCTATACTTCATATCATATGATTACTGGATTATCTTTATTCAACGTACAAATCATGCACGGTTAGATCAGAATTTCCTCAGATCAGGCATTCATTATAGATATATTAGTTTGTTAATGGCAGTGGCTGATGTGAATTTTACGTACCATATCATATCATTGGTGGAGAAAAGAGTGCTTTTCTAGTAGTCTAAATTAACCCTTGTGAATGTGATAAGTAGTAAAAATGGAAAAGCTAATTAATTTCAACTGAATAAAATTAATCCTACTAAATATTAAAATCTTCCCTGCATAAAAAAAGTCCATCCATCTGCCAAGTGTGTCCTAGTAGAAGTTTGAGGTATCCTTTGGGCGCAATTGCAGCGCAGGCAGCAAATCTTATATATTTCGAGCTGCTGGTTACTTGACTTGTTCTAGGGCCAATTCCTATCTAAACTGTATGCAAAATAATGCCTGTTGTTAATACGCTACCAGTACCAGTAATTAACCATTGTTTCATCAATCAAAAGAAGCCAAATTTATCGCCGGCATTGACGACGCCTTTCTGTTGAACCCCCCAGTGTCGCTTTCTTTTGGCATCTTTCTCGAGAAGCTATATACAGCCTCTCGACAGGGCCTTCATGATCCATGCCCACCATCCATGCAGCTTTTTTTAGTCAACTTAATTTGGGGGTGGCCTTTGCATTGAGGAAAACAATAGTTCTATAATTCTGCTGATCATATTATATATATATATATATATATATAATATGTATATCCGGAAAACCAGGCCTTAAATTCACCTTCTCATCTCAATAATCAGTCTTGGTTGGATAGAAAATTGTTAATTAATGTCCACTACCAGAGCATTTTTCGTTTCTGAAAGTTGACCTCATATCTATGAAACAAATAGAAGAAAGCCGCTGCCAACTTTATTATATGAAAAAGAAAAAACCAAGAAAAGATAGAGAATATTTGAACTGTTTCAACTTTTAACCAAACAAATTATAAATTAATTAGTATTTGCTACTTATTTAAATGGTTTCAGATGTATCTCAAAATTTTTTTTTCATGCTATCACAATTAGGTTTTGCTTATAAAAATTCATTATTATATATTGTTCATATAATTTTTTAACTCCATCAACGAAATTAAAAGATTGACATGAATTTTAATTTTTTTATTTTATATTTTTTAATATGCCTTGAGAAGTATATCATCTATTAATTTCGCTTATAAAATTTAAAAGTTTCATTATCAATTAATCAAATATATTTACTCCCGCTGTGATTTTTTTTTTGTTACATATCTATCACAGTTCACAAGCCAGTAAGCCACAAGAAGGAGAACGATTGTAAGAAGACCTGGAAAGTAGACTTGCCTAGGAATGCAGACATTAAAAGTATATAAATATAAAAAATATACCGATTCATTGAACTTTATGTGTATCTACTTAATCATGTTTTAAAGTATTAGAACATAGTGACCCATGTCGTTTTTTGTCTGAGTCTAAACTTGGCAAAAATCTCAGTCTAAACTCTCTCTAGCTAACTCAAGATTAAATACAAACAAATGGGTCGTGGCCACGAGTGAAGGAGATCAGCATATCCATGAAAATCAGGTTAAATTAATTTTAAAAAACAAACCCTAATCTCAGTTTGAATATTGAACTCAAGGTTGTCTCCACTGAAGACAAGGCACAAGATTGAGAATCGCAAACTGGCGACTTCCCCACACACACACACAGTTCCACTATAAATAATTATAGTTTCTCTTTTTGGTGAAAATTTAGGTGTCGAGTTATGAAGTTTGCCACTTTGGTGCATGGAACTAAGTTCATAAAAGCTGAGCTGCAGTGTGCAAGGTGCCCATGAAAAGATATTTAGGTAATCAATTTCTTATTCATAGCTTAAATCATTGTTGATATATTATGAGTTTATTGATATAAACTTTGAAGCGGTCTCATGGGAGCCATTTACGTTTGCCACACAAGATGGCCAATCACTTCATTTTTGCTACATTGTGGAGAAAACAGAACTGAAATTGGATTTTTAAGAGAAACTTCTTTAATTTAATGAAAATTTATTGAACAAAACAGGCCTTTGGGATTGGGATATTGGGTTGATAAAAAAAAATCACGTACAATCTGATGATCGTGCCAAGTAGTAGGGAATGAAAATTATGATTTACATCGTTTTTTAGTACAATAAATAAAGGATAATTTTTTTTCCCCTAGCTTGGTCAACAATGAAGAATTCCCTTTAATTTTAATGGCTTTTTCTTTTTTGAAATTATAAAAACCAATCATTTAAACCAAACCCATTGATTCTCCCACCTCATAACATCAAATGGTGGGAATATAAATATAAAAGGAGAGAACAAAACAGTGAAACATGCATGTTCTTCCACCAAAACCAAATCCCTCAATTCAATGTGCAAAAAGGAAACTGCAAATTGAAGCAGTGGAGTTTTGTTTTCTCTCATTTTCAGAGCAATTTCGGGTTCCAAACCCAACCACACCAAAAACAAGTGTGTAGTGACACAACTCCATTGCCCATACAAACAGAGAACCTCTCTCCATAATAATCCAATAATTAATAAATTCTTCTTCCAGTCAAAGGCCACATCATCTCCACATGGTGGGAGGGAAGCACACGTGCCTCTCTTTGGTTGTAGAGAACGCGTAAACAGCGCCGGTCACCGCTTTTTCAACTGATCAGTGTCAATGGGACCCATCGGGCTAAGGCCGGTCGCCAACTGTCTGCATATCTCGAGACAAACTGCGTCCCCATGGGGGCCGGTTGCTGCACCCATAGCCTTTTCCTAAACCCTTTTTTCCACCCATTATGATACCTGCATCTTACTCACTAGATTATTAATGCACAGACAAATAAATAAAACTCTCCAAAGACAAAATTATAAGTTCAAAGCATTGTTATTTTTCCCAAAAATTAGACAATAATTTCAACCTACTCACAAATGAAATAGGGATGATATATAATGAACTAAGAAATATTTATTTTTTGAATTTTATTAACGAGTGTTTTAATAAAATTCTTTAAGATTAGTTAATATTTTATTTACAGTAATATTTTTAATTAAATATGATAGTTACCAATTAATATGTTGATTTTCAATGTATTAAAATAAAATATAACTTAATATAGTAATTTTAAAGAGTGATTTAGGATTCTAGTTAATAAAACCTTTATGTTTATTCTAGTAATCATACTATTAAAAGGTTGAATATATTATAAGTGATGTATATTTTGTCAAACTTTGAAAATATCATAAAGTCGATATTTATTAGTTCAATTTATATGTCACATACACTTGTCTTTAATGCGAAGGCAATGTGATTCTCTTTGAACATACTTGACCTAACCACATGATGCCCCCACGTCTCTTTGAAGAGGAGAATATTTATTATTTTGGAGTTATTCAGTTTTTTTTTTAATTTTTTAATTTTTCAAAATCGAGAAAATCAACATGTGAACTCACTTGCTTAGCTATAATATTACTAGCAATGAGTCACAATGTATATATAAGAAGAGAGATTAATTTATGC